GTATGTATGTATGTATGTATGTATGTATGTATGTATGTATGTAAATGTGTCAAAATCTTCCTCTTAGATGACACCGCACAATATTTTAGGTGGAACGAGTGTGTTCATCCACACACAACACTTGCTTTTAATTTTAATGCCACACCTTTTTTTAATAATTATTACCCAAAATGTTAGATGAAAGCACATGTTACAACTGAATTAAATCACAGCAAGATATATTTTATTAACTCTTTGTGATTGTGTTAAAACTGAAGAGTTTGTTTCCAAAAGATGTTCAATACTTTCGCACAAAAAAACTGAAACCTAAAAGAAGAGAATTGGAACGAGAATGGTTTTAGATGTTGTCAAACAAGGACCTACGCAGCTCACCGTCCTTCAGGGTTTAGTTATCTCAGTAAATCTTTTTTGTATGCGTGGATTTTACTTTTAAATTTAAAATATGACTTTGGAAGGGAACTCTTCATGTGTTCATTTATAAAGCTTTAAGCGTGCAGCCCAGTCAAAGACTTTGGGCTTATTTCTTTTCAAAAGTGTAAAAAAAGAAGTGACTTCTGCAGGAGATTGGGACACGTTTATATTTTTGAAATGTATGTGGACTTTGTTGCAAAGAAAACTGATATATATGAAAAAAGTTTATCACCTATCATGCGTCACCATTGTGAGATAATTGGTGGGACATTACCAGCTTGGAACGTTTGCATATTTACTGTCCACGAGATGAAGACTGATTCGTGTTGCCCACTTCTCACCGGGGCCTGCGAGCTCAAAGCGTGGGATGTGGAAGTATTGATGTTCTAAGGATGTCCATTATGTTTAACAGTTTAATGTACTGAGGGGGTCTGGGGCAACTTTTAGTACTGCCACTGAATTTAAATTGTTCCAACATGAACTGATTTCTACAGACAGAAAGTGTCCGACCCCCGCGCCCCCCCAGGCTTCTGAAAGCTCACCTGATGGAGATACATGTTCAAGCTGGACCCAACAGAATCCCAGAAACTCTTGTTACTGTGACGACAACACAGGAGATTTGTCTTGCAAGTTCAACAAAAAGTGTTGCTCAGAGTTACCCCTTTATCTGTTCTCCAAGATCTAAAATGGGTTTGGCAAACGGGGAGTTTTGGCAAACGCATTTTGAATACATTAAAAAAAATTGAGTAATAAAAAAGTGTTTCAAAATGTAAGACAGTTGTCATCAAGGGAAAGTTCACGCATATCATTTGTACCCCAGTTTATTACCATCAGTTGTTAAATGGGTGTCGCTATCCAAATACAAGTCTATTTCAGATAAACTCAATTTCTTTTTTGGTTTTTTATTTGTACTCCCAGTTAACAAAACACACCTCACAACTCTTTACAAATGAGGAAACCATTATTATTCATGTCCAGTTAAAATCAGTGTAAATGAATGTTTTTCAAATCCAGTTCAGATCTCATTAGCTTTGTTTAGTGAGTTAGTATGAATACAGCGTCAGGCTATATCATTAATAGAAGGGGTTCATCCTACATTCAGTTTTATTGACTTAATAGTTAAGTAAAAATAAACTTAAKGGATGGTATTCAAAATCAGTTGTTTTAGCTCTATATCATGTTATAATGTCATTCCCTCATCAAAATATTTCCCAGAGTGTTTCTTTGACTCATTCATGCACGTTTGAGAAATCTGTAAATCTCCTTTGGTAGCAATGTGGAGCTGCCTAAACACTTGCTGGTACAAAGCCCCACCTATTTGTACAAAGCTCCTCCCTGGAGCTCCTGCCCCACAGAGCACCCCTCCCCTGACACCTGCTTCGGATGTTATCATCCATTAAATGGACGTTATTAGCCGTTATCTGTCCCATGGAATGGCTTCAGACTGGCTTCAGACTGTCCCGACTGCCGCCTAGTGGGTTCTCCATCCCATAGAATGGCTTCAGACTGTCAGCCGGTTAGTATGAAGCATAAAACCACTAAGGTTTTTTATGCAATCTGGTTAATATGAGGCATAAARCCACTAAGGTTTTTTATGCAATCTGGTTAATATGAGGCATAAAACCACTAAGGTTATTTTTAGAGAAAATGACATGGGCTACAATAAAGTAGACCGGACTCCAGCGGTAGCTGATTGCTACATTCCAACGTATATGGCACTGGTAACCCACTAGGGGGCACTGTCGGGACAGTCTGAAGCCATTCTATGGGACTGATAAC